TGGCACTTGCCATCCCACTGCAGATAACTAAAGAGATTTAAAAATCATGAAACATCTTGTAATTTTGTAGGAATTAGAAGCAAGACATGAGTTAGAACTGGGGCCCTGAGTGAGCCATTTGGAAGCAGGTTTTTCCTGTATTCTGTGCAGACCCTGTAGAGATAAATGAGTCACTAAATTGCTTATAGAAGCCTTCCTGGGCTGCAGGAATGAAGGCTAGAATGCAAGTAGCACTCCAAGGATGGTGATCCACACCAGGTTTTGTATAAGGGTATACAGAGCTGTATTCTGAGAGGGAGGGTGTGGACCACAGTCCTCCAGGCCAGGCGGTGATGGGAACCACACAGCTCTGTCCTGCACTGCTAACTACTATGAGCACTTGGCAGATACGACCAGAATCCTTTGAGGAGGAAGTTAGCATCAGGTGATGTCTGTAAAAATCACCTCAAGCTCAACAGCCTGGACTTAGGAAAAGAGACACACAGAGAGGAGAAGTCACGAGTCCGAACCATCAGGAAAAAGAAGTGACAGAAGACTCCAGAACCTGGGATTCCCAGACACAGATTTGGAAAAACAATGATGATTACTGTGTTTAGGAAACAAAAAAAAAGCTGAAAACTTTAGCAGGAAGCCGTGAAATATGCTTTTAAAACAACGACACAGCATATTTGCCACACAAGAAATTCTGGAAATCAAGAATTCTAATACCACCAGGTAGTGTTGGTGCACACTTTTATTCCCAGCACTCCAGTGGCAGAGGCAGGTGGATCTCTGAGTTCAATGCCAGCCTGGTCTACAGAGTGAGCTCCAGGATACCCAGGGCTACACAGAGAAACCCTGTCTCAGAAAAAAAAAAGTTAATACCAATTTTTTAATGGCATTAGTTGATTAATCCCCAAACAAAGAGAATGAAATGAATTCCAGAATGAAGCAATGAGTAATTCAAAAATGAAAATAATGAATGTAGACACCGGGGAGTGATATATATATATAGATATATATAGATATATCTATATATATATATCAATCAGAACCATAAAGCAGAGTGAAAGCTATATTAGACACAATAAGGCACAGTCAGTTTCATTGAGGTTCTAGGGGAAGAAAGAGAAGAAGGATTGGTCTTAGAGAGATGATGTCTAGTAGCCCACTGACTGAGGAAACTCTACAGAGCCAAAGAAGAATTAATAAAAATAAATACTCAAGTCCACATTAGAATAGAACTTCAATGAACTAAGATAGGCTCAATGTAGCCACAAAAAAAAAAAGAAAAAGAAAAGAGAAACAGTTTAACAGCACACTACCATTGAGCTCACCGCCGACCTCAAGGACAGACGACAACAGGCTTCAAGAAAAGAAAAGAAAAGCTCTAGATTGCCAACAGATAACTGCTTAAAGGATGCCCTGTAGGGTGTTCACCATGCAGAAGAAGAAGAAATAATCTTGCATGAAAAAAAAAATCAGGGGTTGGGGATTTAGCTCAGTGGTAGAGCGCTTGCCTAGCAAGCACAAGGCCCTGGGTTCGATCCTCAGCTCTGGAAAAAAAGAAAAAGAAAAAGAAAAGAAAAATCAGGTGAGCCAGTGAGGTGGCTAAGAGAGTAAGGTCCTTGCTATGCAAGCCTGGCGACCTAAGTTTAATCCCTGGAAACTACAGAACTGTAGAAGGAGAGAACTGACACTCACCAAGTTGTCCTTTGGTCCACAAGCCAAATGAGGCACGTGCACCAGCCTCCCATTATGCACACAAACAATACACAATTTTATTTGTGGGGTGTGGTGGCACACACCTTTAAGCCCAGCACTCAGGAGGCAGAGGCAGGGGGATCTCTGTGAGTTCAAGGCCAGCCTGGTCTACAAAGAGAGTTTCAGGACAGTGGGGCTGTTACACAGAGAAACCCTGTCTTGAAAAACAAACAAACAAAACCCCAAACAACAACAAAAAAGGTTCTATCTGTTCATTCCTTTGTTTGTTTATTTACGTATTTGGATAGGGTTTCACTATACAGTTCTTAGTGACCCAGAACTCACTATGTAGACCAGGCTGGCCTCAAACTCTGATCTGTCTGCCTCTGCCACCATTGTGTTGATATTAAAGGCAGACACCACCACACCTGACTATAAACATTTTTTAGAATAAAGAAGAAACTAAACAAAGGAAAAATTAGGTGTAGAAAGCAATGGAGCTCAAAGAAATATTTACAGCTGAGCCTGCCTGGTGGCCCAGTCTTATCATCTCAGCCACTCAGGAAGCTGAGGCAGGAGGATGGTAAATTCAAAGCTTGCCTAGGCTATAGAGCAAGGTTGAAGCTAGCCTGGCTAATTTTAAGAGTCTCAAGAAGCAGGGGGATGGAGAGGAATACTGAATAAGAATAGATCTAAATAATAGATTATTGATTATGAAATCATATTGATGATGAAAATAGGATTATGCAAAGCAGTATACTCTGAGAGCTAAAAGTTATAGAATTACAGCAGATGATAAAACTGAGAATATTGGGGGGTATATATGTAGTTGCCCAGGAAACTAAAGGTAACAATATCAGGGTTATTATTTTTATTTTTTACATTTATTTTATTTTACGTGTAGGAGTGTTTGCCTGTGTGTATGTATGTACGCCACATGAATGCAGTGTCCAAGGATGCCAGAAGAGGGCCTCAGATGTGGGTGCTGGGAATTGAACATGGGTCTGAACTGCTGAAACCTTTTTTCCAGCCCCATATTATCAGGTTTTATCCCCTCCACTACCACCACCACTGAGATAGGGTTTCTCCCTGTAGTCCTAGAATTTGGAACTTGCCCTGTAGACCAGGCTGGCCTTCAACTCAGAGATCCACCTGCCTCTGCCTCCTGAGTGCTGGGATTAAAGGCGTGCACCACCAACCACCCAGCAGGTTTTGATTTTTTTTTTAAAGATTTATTATGTATACAATGTTCTGCCTGCATGTACGTCTACATGCCAGAAGAGGGCACCTGATCTCATTACAGATGGTTGTAAGCCACCACGTGGTTGCTGGGAATTGAACTCAGGACCTCTGGAAGAGCAGTCAGCACTCTTAACCTCTGAGCCGTCTCTCCAGCCCAGGTTTTGATTTTTTTTTAAAAAAAGAATTATGATCATTTCTAAGGTACTCACTAAAACCTGAAACCCCCCCCCAAAAAAAAAATCAGTGTGACCACGATATACACCACTTCACCTCCCCACTTATGACTACTATCAAAAAGATGAGCCGTGAACCCAGATAGTTGGGAGGCTGACACAAGACCATGTGAGCCCACATGCTCAAGGCCAGATTGGAAAACAGAGCCTGTCTCTAAAAACAGACCAAAACAGTAACAAGTGTTGGTGTGGAAGATACTGTAGCACTCTTAACATTGTTGCTTGGGAATGTAAAATTGTGTGGCTGCCATGAAACACAGTTTGACACTTCTTCACAAAGCTAATCACAGAGTGACCATTTGACCCAGCAAATCCCCCTACTGGGTATATACCCTGAAGGACCAGGAGCTAGGATTCAAACAGACCTGTCCATAAATGCTTCCAGCAGCCTTGTTTGCAGGGGACAAAAGATCTCTCAGCAGGCAACTGAGTATGTTAAAATTTCGAACTCGTCTGTAGTTCGAGAATTTTTCTCATCATTTCTTCCTCCCCTTTCTTTAAGAAACCCCTATTAGAGATATTTCATCTCCAGGCTGCACCTTTTCTTTCCTGTTGATTTCTTTCTCTTTCTTTCTTTTTTTCTTTCTTCTTTCTTTCTTTCTTTCTTTCTTTCTTTCTTTCTTTCTTTCTTTCTTTCTTTCTTTCTTTCTTTTCTTCCTTCCTTCCTTCCTTCCTTCCTTCCTTTCTTCTTTCTTTCTTTCTTTTTCTTAACACCTTGAGTTTCTTGTTTTTATCTTTCAGTCCTTGTACTGAATTTTAATCTCTGAAATCATAATTTCAATTCTTAAATGCTTTACCTTGATTTTTTCATGACTTTTTGTTCCTCTTCTAAGACTGCAGTGTTGGACCAAGAGATGACTCAGCTGCTAAGAGCTCTGACTGCTCTTCTGGAGGATCCAGGTTCAATTCCCAGCACCAACACGATGGCTCACAACTGGCTGTAACTCCAGTTCCAGAGGATCCAACGCCCCTTTTCTGGCCTCTGTGGACACTGCACACATGTGGTGCACACACAGGCAAAATACTAATGCGCATACAATTTTTTAAAGCTTCAAAAAAATTTAAAGACTGCTGTGTTTTAAATGTCTGAGTATATTAGAGAATTTAAAATATTTTCCTCATATTTGTTGACATACCTCCACCCTCTCAGTCATTCAAAAATATTTACCTGTTTCTCTTTCATGTTACAACCTTCTCATAAAACTGGCATTTCGCTGGGCGGTGGTGGCACACACCTTTAATCCCAGACTTGAGAGGCAGAGCCAGAAGGGTCTCTGTGAGTTCGAGGCCAGCCTGGTCTACAGCTTGAGATCCAGGACAGGCACCAAAACTACACAGAGAAACCCTGTCTCGAAAAAAAACAAAACCAAACACCAACAACAACAAAAACCTGGCATTTCTTAGCAGTCAATAAATATTTACAAATGTTGTAGTTTAAAAACCACACCTGAAATCTGCACAAATGGATGCCACCTACTGCTAGGCAGGTGGGGCCCCTGACCATTAGAATGTGAAGTATTTGTCACAGCTTGTCATACCAGCTGCTCTGGTTCTCCACGACTAGTTGAATCGGTTTCTCTGCTCAACTCCCTGCCCCTTATTTAAAGGCCCAGGTGCCATATTCTTCATGTGTGGTCAAGAGACAAGTGGAGAGGTCTGGCCTTGCCACAGAAAGACTCACTGTTTGCTCTCTTCCGCTACCATTCCTGTCTGGTGCTTTGGGCTGTCGTCTTGCTCTTGGCCCGAGTCCCTATCCTCTCAGATCCAGCAAGGCATAAAGCTCCCAGCCTTCTCTGGCAGGAATCTGTTGCTGTTGCTTCTCCACTGTGCCACAGGACTCACCAGTTCTCTGATTTCCCTTCCAGACATTTGAGAGGACTGGCTGGCTAATGGCTTGGTCCCATTTCCTTGAGTTAGGTTGGTACCTTTTTAATTCCTTCGTCAGGGTGACGTTGGGTATGACAAACACATGTGGACAGTCTTCTATCTTTGACTGAAAGGAGAGATTAAGTTAAAGAATATTTACTGCATGAAGATGTACATTTTTAAGATGTCCACAGGGGAAACCACACCATGCGTGTGGAGGAGGTCAGAGGACAACTTGTAGGAATGGGCTCCTGCCTTCCACCGTGTGGGTTCAGGAGCTTGAATTCAGGTCATCAGTTTGGGAGTTGAACACCTGTGAGTCATCTCACAGGCCCTTAGGGGCACATTTTTTGAGAAAATAAATACCTCATGTTCTTCAAAATGAACTGGTTGTTAGGATGCTTCTGGAACGTTGCTTCAGTAGATGGCACCATTTCCCAGTTCAACACTGTCCCACATTGGAGACCATGAGCTGTACTAACCTGTATAATTGAAATGAATAGGTTTCAGAGTTTGACATTATCAACATTAATCAATTGACTAAACCTCAACTAAAATCTCAAATCAATTAAAATCTCTAAATCGTTTCAAGTTTCTGAAGCATTAGTATAATGGTGACTTGTGCTCTGTGGGCTGACTGTTCACTGACAGAACACTTCCCAAGCCTGCATTAAGCATTAAGATCCTGGGGCACCTGTGTTGGATCTCCAGCCCCTCAAAACATATTACCAGCAGCACTCAGTGCTAGAGGCATTCCGATCCAAGTGGTTAAGTAGTTATTGTTGTTTGGGGTTTTGAGACAGGGTTTCTCAGCAGGTGGATCTCTGTGAGTTCAAGGCCAGCCTGGGCTACAGAGTGAGTTCCAGGACAGGTGCAAAGCTACATAGAGAAACCCTGTCTCAAAAAGAGAGAGAGAGAGAGAGAGAGAGAGAGAGAGAGAGAGAGAGAGAGAGAGAGAGACAGAGACAGAGACAGAGACAGAGACAGAGACAGAGACAGAGACAGACAGAGAGAGACAGAGAGAGAGTTTCTCTATGTAACAGTCCTGGCTGTCCTGTAACTCACTTTGTAGTCCAGGCTAGCCTCGAACTCACAGAGATCTGCCTGCCTCTGCCTCCCAAGTGCTGGGATTAAAGGCGTGCACCACCACTGCCCTGCTATTAAGTAGTTCTTAAATCCCTTTTGAGGGGTCTTGGGGAGCTGACTCAATGGTTAAGAGTGTATACTAGTCTTGCAGCGAATCTGAATGCAGTTTCCAGCACCCATGTGAGGTGGTTCATAATCACCTGTTATTCCAGCTCCGGGGACATTTGAAGCCTCTGGCTTCCATGAGCACTGCACACACACACACAAATCCTTTTTTAAAAAAATCCCCCTTTAGTACATGGACATTACATCTTACTCTTCTTTCTCCTTTGTCCTATCGCCCCAAGTCAGTCAAGATGAATGTTATATAATTAAATCAATACTAAGGCTGTAACTTTTAATGTTTTTGGAAAACTTTACCTTATCTATGAATAATAACAAGAAAATGCATAGAGGCATCTTTACTTTTTGTTCTGAATTTTAAAAAAATTAACCAGCATGTAAATCACCTGTGAAATTATAATCATCATAGGGAACATATAAACCTGACTAGTAAACATGAAATGTTAGAACTCCGAGGGCCTTATTTTTCAGTAATCAGAAACTTTCTTCTAGCGAACAGAGGTGAACACTTCAGAAATTATGGATTTCCGAAACAGCATTTCAGAGCATGGAAAAACACATAAAGCAAGCTAAAGTCAAAGGTCAGAGGGAAGCCCGTGTTGCCTTTGACTGACCGTAGGAAAAGCCACAGGGTGAACAGACTAAACCACCTCTGAAAATGGTTTTCAGTCAGCTAAGACTCTTCATTCATAATTCTAGGCAGTTATCAATCATGGGGTGCTGGCTATCTCTTTTATCTGTCGACAGCTTTCCTTAAAAATACTTTCCTGGAACCAGCTGGCTTCATTTGTGCATAGAACTTGTCTTAAAAACCAGAAATGAGCCGGGCGGTGGTGGCGCACGCCTTTAATCCCAGCACTCGGGAGGCAGAGCCAGGTGGATCTCTGTGAGTTCGAGGCCAGCCTGGGCTACCAAGTGAGTTCCAGGAAAAGGCACAAAGCTACACAGAGAAACCCTGTCTCGAAAAACAAAAAAACAAAAAAACAAAAAAAAAAACCAGAAATGTCTGAGGCGGCATGGACTTTCAAGTGCTTGTCTTCAAAGTCCCAGCTAGGCTTTTTGTCTGAAGGATGGGTGGGATGAGTGGGTGAGACAGGGTCTCTCTGTGCAGTCCAGGCTGGCCTTGATCAGGATCTTCCTGCTCCTATATCTTGACTGCTGGGGTAACAAATATGTGTCACCATGTGCAACTAAAATTCCAGGTATTCTGTATCACTTCATTAGATCAGTTTGTGATGTTAGTTTTTCAGATGCCAAGCCACACAGTATTAGTTACTAATGATTCAAAATATCTTGAAGGCCATACATAGTCAATACAACTAGAGAAACCTAAACTATAGTAAATATTCTTTTTTAAAAATATTTATTTATTTATTATGCATACAGTGTTCTGCCTGCGGCCCTATAGGCTGGAAGAGGGCACCAGGTTTCATTAAAGATAGTTGTGAGCCATCATGTGGTTGCTGGGAATTGAACTCAGGACCTCTGGAAGAACAGCCAGTGCTCTTAACCTCTGAGCCATCTCTCCAACCCTATGGTAAATATTCTTAAAAATTCTGTTTTGAACTGACTGTGGTGACGCACACCTTTAACCCCTGTACTTGGGAGGCAGAAGCAGGTGAATTCTCTGAGTGTTCGAGGCCAGCTTGGTCTACAGAGCAAGTCTTGGGACAGCCAGAGCTAATAGACCCTGTCTCGAAAAACAAAGCAAAACTTCTCTTTTGAGGTTATCATTACATCAAGTAGCTTCTTAATACAGTTTACTAGTAGAAAATGAAAGCTGTGTCTCTTGACTACCTTTGCCTCTGTCCCTTTGTATTTACAATAAAGACCATGTAGTTCTACATGAGCTACATGGTCTCTGCAATTAAATGACCTAAAGAAAATCTCATTTCTATATAAACAAACTTTTAGGGCCCAGGTAGAGAGCTCAGTCAGTAAAATGCTTGCCATGCAAATATGAGGTCCTGAGTTCAATCCCCCAAACATACATGTAAAAAGCCTGTGGTGTGGTGGCTTTGCTGTGATCCCAGTATAGGGAAGACAGAGACAAGGAGATCCCGAGACTCACTCACCAGCCAGCCTAGCCTAACTTGTGAAGCCCAGGGTCAATGAGAGACCCGATTCATAAAAACAAGGATGGCTCCTCCAAGGTTGAGCTCTGGCCTCCATGAGCACCTACATACACATGCACTCACACACATGCATATGTGTAGTGGGTAGCCATTCCAGCTTTGACCTGGAAGTTCCAACCCCCATTGAGGCTTCGGTAACGGTCATGCCTACAAGGCGGGGCTGAGAGAGGACGCTGAAGACCCGAGATCCGGATGCGCGGGCTCTCTTGGTTCCTGGACCCTGGACGCTGGAGGTAGACTGAGCAGAGTTCTCCAGAGAACACCGCCGGACTGCACCACACCTTTCCCAGACCCTGTAAACTATCCCTTCACACTTGTAAGTTACCCCACAAAATAAACCTCCCTTTTAACTACATGGAGTGGCCATAATAATTTCACCAATACATATGCATCCACATGCATATGTACACACAGAAGAACTGGACCACATTAGCTAAACTTGCAGTTATGGGGTCTATAATGTTCTCAGCTTCAATTTCCCACAAGGAATTTGTTGTGGCTCATTGAGTGTTCTCAGAAGCCCTTTTGAGATCCTTCCCATCCTGTCCAAAGATGTCACGGGGAGAGTAGCTCTGTAAATACTCTTGACAATCTCCCAAGATCTTCCCAGAGCATTGCCTTGAGTCTCTAAGTTTTGCGTCACTGTCTTCAGTACAAATCTGACCATGTCTTTGGTTAATCTTGGTTGTAAAGTTTTTTCAGTTGTTAAGTATGTAGTGGACAGTGGGTACCTCTATCTATCTCTATCTATCATGTATCTATCTATGTATCTATCTATGTATCTATCTATGTATCTATCTATCTATATCTGGTTTTTGTTCATTTGTAGAAACTATTCTTTCCTTTATTTCAAGTGACTCAGTATTTCCATGTTTATTTTTGTTTTCACATTGAAATTTGGTAATTATTTGTATGTGTATGGGTGTTTTGCCTGCATGTATGTCTGTGTACCATGTGTGTGCCTGCTGCCCACAGAGGCCAAAAGAGAGCATCAGATCCTATGGAACTGGAGTTACAGATGGTTGTGAGCTACCATGTTGGTGCTGGGAACTGAACCCAGGTCCCCTGGAGAACAGCAAGTACTCTTAAACACTGAGCCATCACTCTAGCTCCATGTGTTTTTTTTCTTTCTTTCTTCCTTTCTTCCTCCCTTCCTCCCTCCCTCCCTCCCTCCCTCCCTTCCTTCCTTCTTTCCTTCCTTTCTTTTATTTATTTAGTTTCTTGGGACAGGGTTTCTCTGTGTAACAGTCCTCGCTGTCCTGGAACTCGCTCTGTAGACCAGGCTGGCCTCAAACTCACAGAGATCTGCCTGTCTCTGCCTCCTGGATGCTGGGATTAAAGGCATGCATCACCATCACCCGTCTTAGCTCCATATTTTTATTAATAATTTTTTGTTTTGTTTTGTTTTTCGAGACAGGGTTTCTCTGTGTAGTTTTGGTGTGGGTCCTGGATCTCACTCTATAGACCAGGCTGGCCTTGAACACAGAGAGATCTGCCTGGCTCTGCCTCCCAAGTGCTGGTTAAAGGTGTGCACCACCACTGCCCGGCTTTATTAATAATTTTTAATTATGATTTTTACAGTTATTCTGGGGAGGCATTCACATGTGGAGGTCAGAGAACAACCCTCAGAGAGCAGCAGCCCCCCTCCATGTGGGCTCCAGGGATGAAACTCCCATTACCAGGCTCAGTGGCAAACCCTGGGCCCACACATACACTGAGCCGTCTCACCCGCCCCAGTATTTCTATGCTTAGAAAAGCTCCTAAAACTCCTGCCTGAAATTAGACACAGAATTAGATACTTCTGGCCCATGAACTCAGGCTAATGTGTTAAGCTTTATTTTGCTGCAGTCTCAAGAATGCAGATTAAGGGGGCTGGAGAGATGACTCAGTGGTTAAGAGCACTGGCTGTGCTTCCAGAGGACCCTGGTTCAATTTCAAGCACCCACATGGCAGGTCACAACTGCCTATAACTCCAGTTCCTGGGGAGCTGAACTCTGCAGACACCACACACACATGCTGCATAAACATGCAAGCAGGCCAAACACCCATGCACATATAAATAAATAAATAAAGAAAGAAAGAAAGAAAGAAAGAAAGAAAGAAAGAAAGAAAGAAAGAAAGCATAAAGCAATTGGATT